ATATATCATAAACATGTAAAGCATTCCTGCTTCAGGCTGTGACCTCCCAACTATGATTGTTATACCTATTCACTATAGATTTTCCACAAATACAGCATAACTGGTCTGATGCTATTAGTGTTCCGCAAAGGTATAATATAGTCCGATTTGGCGCAATTAATGACATTGCCATTGCTTTTCAACAGTACTATACATAAAGAGCTGAACGTTGTAAACCTCTTCTGGTAAGGCTACTGTGTAATTAACACTATGCCGGCAAGAGAGAGAGCGAGAGAGAGAGAGGGAGAGAGAGAGGGGGGAGGGAGGGAGAAGCAGAGCACGGCGTACTATTGATTTTCTTGGCCTTATTGATTTCTTATACATGCAAGCACCCGCAGTTTATATTCACCATGCAACGTTGTTGACAACTTTTGGTAATACCAAAGAACCTATTGATCACTATATAGGCTCTTTGGTAATACTACGTAAGGGGGACAGGTTGCTTATCTCAGAACTAGTGTGTAAAACATGCATGTTCGGTGTGATCTCCCTCTGTTTTATTTCCTGAATTCCCACCTCGTATGCACCAGTGGGATTTCTGACACAAGCCACCCGTACGTGTATCATCTTATTAGCATTCTTCTGTTGAACTTACCATGGCGGCGACGTTGCTGGCAAACTGATGTAGTTTGCGACTTTGCGTACTACAATGTAGTTTGCGTAGTTGTTGTATACAGAGATGCGTGACCTATGACCGCTGATGACCCGTGTGTTGCAGACGAAGCTGGAGGTGAGGGATGCTGATGACAATCGCTTCTTTGTGCTGACGTTTGTGCTGTGCGGATGCATAGCGGGATGCATCCTTGCTGTCGTCGTCATCTACCTGGTGCGTCGCCACACCCGCTCCCAAGAGAAGCTGAAGAACATGACCAGCAACATCGAGTCCGAGGTCACCCAGGACTACCAGGTAACACTGACGTGACGTCACAGCACGAGGGCAGGACAGCTGGTGTCTGGGTTACAGTACAGGAAAGGGAACCACAATCTGTTAGGTCATGCCAACCAATATCAAGTGTCTTATGTGATTGGGATTTTTAAATAAATTTTAATTTATACATACAATAATGTGATTATTATCAAATAAAGCATTAAGAGACAGGTGAGCAAATTTAGATTAGGTGCAAACATGCTGTTTTTAGCTCACATTGACATCGTCAAGATGAGCTATTGCCATGGGGCATCGTCCGTCGTACGACCGTCCGTCCGTCTGTCCGTCAACATTTGGCTACGGTCAACGATAACTTGAGAACCATTTGACCCACATATTTCAAATTGCATACAGTTGTTACTCCTATGGGAGAGATTTGAACATCTTATTTTGGAGCACACCAGTCGACCTACTTTCGAGCCACGCGCATTTTTTGGCAAAAATGGAAATAGCCACAAGTCAGTTCAGGTTCAACGGATATTGCTCATTTTTGGTATGTGAAGGAATAAGGACTGGCAAATCAAATCACCCAAAACATATCACACGAGTTTTGATATATTTTTCAAAATTATGCAAATGAGGCAGATTACCTAAAAAAGTCAACCTATACTTTCGAGCCACGTTCACTTTTTGGCAAAAATGAAAATGGCCATCTAGATTCATTCGATTTTGTTAAATTTACCTACCTACCTACCTAATTATACCTACGTGTAATATTGTGTTTTAGATCTTCGTTATAGTAATTTGACTGGAATATTTTATTGCTATTATTTGCGCGATAATCGAAAACCAAAGTGGCGATCATTTAGGCGTAGCGCCATCTCTCACCCAGATTTCAGACTTTCAGATCTGAAACATTTATTTTCGCACCAAAACTAACCCTGAAACAAAACAGTGAAATTTCTATTAGTATAAAACAGGGAGTAAGGACATTTGATCACATTTTGGTTCGTCATAAATGAAACACTTACCAAATTTTAAATATCATCTCCCTCTTCTATCACACCCAAGGTGAGCTATAGTGTCATTGACACTTTCATTAAAGAGTAGAGTCATTAATTAAAACGAATGAGCAATGAGACAAGTCATCAATGTCAATGCATGCGGTAAATACTACAAGCACAGGATACAGCCAATACTCAAAACTCCACTGCAATTAAGGCGCAACAGTGAACCCAGGTAGTCGCACTCTACAGTTGCTGAATGATTCGTTAAATAATTACCCAACAACGCTCAGAGCGATGCGTGCTCTATTAGACCTTGGTAACAATTACCTTCATTATTATCACGATCATGCGCTTGGTTGGACGTAAGCACCAAGAGACTGCCAGGTGTGCGGGGGAGTGTGCTACTGCAGCACTCCTTGGTCACACTGATGCAAGGTGGGGGGCTGTCATAATAAAATATGTTTGTGAGAGAGCTAGAGTAAAGAAACAAGCTAGCATTCAACTGTGAACCAAAATGATGAGGGGTTAGATGCAAACATACCAGTTTAATGCAATTTTATATTTGTGATAATGCAGCTCTGTATTGTCACATGTCTGCTCCTCCCTTTCATGTTTCATTTGTCATTGGTTTAGATAAGGACTTCTAAAAGATTCTCAGCGAAAACGTTTTGTTCGTGGGTTTTCCTCAGTCGCGTGCAAGGCCTATAAATAAACACACGTTAGGAATGTGTGTGTATTTATAGGCCTTCGCCGCGTGTATGCTGATTATGAGCAACATGCAGTGCCATCTACAGGGAATCTGCATAATTAATAACCAGAACTCTGCAGTAGCGTGGCCAGTACAGCAGCATGGTGTAACAATTAAACGCCATAACACATAAGCCACACGGTGATCATGACGCCACGTGATGAATCGAGTTATTACGTTATTAGAATTATGCCGTTAGAACAGTATAATACAAAGAAAAGTTATATATTGTGCCCCCCCCCCA